CTTGTGACTATTCTCACCAGTAGTGTGAATATTTTATTTTTCTGTTTTTCCCACAGGCATTCCATTTCTTTGGGAATATTTTCTTTTTTTGTGGTTCAGAACATTGAATCAAGGTCTGCATTGTCCTCTTCATCAACCACCAGGGCTTTTCTGTGATATTTGTTCAGCAATATCTCTCCCTCTCCTCTGCATGTTTTCTTTTCACTTGTTCCTGAGCAACTTGGTCCACCAGTTCATCTGCACAAGAATCATTTGCTGCATTTGAGAGGAATGACCTGCCTGTTAGCAATTAATTTTTGATGCCATCTGTTGAGACTGTAGAGCCTGCTGCAAGTAAGGCATTGACTAGTGGCCCTAGAATTGCAGATTACTAGACAAAAGTCTGAAAACACTCTCACTTCTGGCTCCTTGGAACAATCTGTAAGGTCCTGAAGCTGGCCTGTTGTGTATGGGGATCGGGTAACAACTGCTTCGCCCTTTTCCAGAACAAATCCAAGGCAGATGGGTAGGTTTTCCAACCATTGCAATTGGCAGGAGATTTGGTTTGCACAAAGGCAGATGATAAATTTTCTGTAGCCATCAGCAATTCTTCGGAGCAGAAAAGAGCAGCGAATTGGGTACTAGTTTGGAGCGCAGGACCTGGGCCTAGTGCTGGAGTGGACAGCAAAACAAAGATGGCGGCCGCCTCGTGTAGTAACAGTGACAATTCGAAGAATGTAGTTGTTTCTCTAAGTGAAGATGACATTCCGCCATAGGATCCGCCATCTTGGAAAACGAGAAAACAATGAAAATTGACGCAAAATCAAATCGACGAAAAGGAGAAGTGTACATACCTATATCTCTGATTGGGGGGGGGGGGTATTTCATATGATGAAATAAGATCCGCCATTTTGAAAACGGGAAAATAATGAAAATTAATCAAATGGGAAATCGCATCCTTTCAAACATGTGAAATGTATTTGCATTCCAATAAAATCAACCTTTATTCTATTTATAACACTTTACTATAAACTACGAGTATCAAATGTAGCTGGTGGTTATCGAATTTTTCAGTTTTCTGAAAGATGTATACGATCACTTAGTTAAGCCAACATAAACTGTAAGAAGTACTAGCGGTGCTAAATCAAGATTTTCAAGGCTAAGTCTCTGTTCTTGACTTACATCTGGGTCAAAATGTAATGTCATTTCAGATGGACAGAATGGAGTAACCAGAGAATTTCTAGGCAGTTTTGTAATGCAAGTCATACTTGGACAAAAGTAAAATGTGCGCAAAATC